ATAATACAGTAAAAATTCACCACCCATTTTTGTAAAATATGACCAAAATTTGGAAGTGTCAAGAGAAAATTGAAAACATTCTCTAAAATCGACACTACCATTCTATCAAACCAGGGAAAATCCCACACTTTTTTCAAACATATTTAAAAATACAGTAGAAATTTTATTTCAGCCCCTATTTTGTTAAATTTTGACCAAAATTTTAAAAATTCATATAAGATTAAAAGAAAATATAAAATCAACGGTACCAAGCTGACCAATCTAAGAACAGTTCACACTTATGAACAAATAATTAAAGTAGGAGGATCCAAGTATTTACTGTTATGCTAGATTTAACTTTAACGAGGTGCATAGAAATTTTTACGGAAGCTCTAGTGGTACGTTTGAAAAAAATATTTGAAAATACGTTAGGAATTCAAACTGTTTTATTTTACGGAATTTTAATTTCTACTGTATTTTTAAATAGATTATCAAAAAAGTGTGAAAGTTTTCCAGATTTTTCAGCACCGTAGTGCTGATTTTACAGAATTATTTCGATTTAGGTCATGAGTTAGAGGGTTTTTGGGCAGCAGAAAATGTTCGATCGCAGTCGAATAACAGGGCACCAAAATAAACATGGTCATTGCATATTTCAAAGTACTAAATTTTCAGTCTTAAACATTGAGTTCTAACTTCAAACATGAAAATAACTGTACGTCGACGATAGACACACTACTTGTCATAAAACTACTCTTGAGCCCGACCATGTCCCAGCCAACATCGTCCAACTCAACATCGTTGTCCAACTCAACCTTAATCAGCAATGACGGTCCTACCCCGTCATCCTTCTTGAGCGTCCTGTTCCTCCCAGCGAAGTATTTGTGCTCCGCCTCCACATGGTGCGTATTAGCCTCGGCCAACCTTGCCATAGCCATTGTACCACTCCCATAGGTGGTGCTCTAGTCAAAGACTAGGGGGTCTTTCTTCTCTTCACGGGACACAAAACGCACCTCGGGAGCGAGAAACTCTGCCTCCCTGATGCTTGGAACATCCGAGAAGTTGAGCTCGAACCTCGGCTGACGAAAACTCCAAGCCGTGAGATCGTACGCGCGGACGGCGAGCTTCGTGTGTCATTGGTGCCGAGCCACATCAGCCACCTGTCACATGAGATTTCGGCGACATAGCGTCCGAACTGCAGTAGGCAAACGTCACGGAAGCCCTAGTGCTCGCGGAGCGATGGCATCCTCACTCGACGGTCGATGCAGCGGCGACAAATACGGAGGAGTGATGGCCAAATGGGGTGTTGTGGCGGT